AACTAGTAATTAAAAAAATAAAATAAAATAAAATGAGTTAAATTATAACGAATGTAAAAAAAATTTAATTGATTAAAAAATAATATTTACTATATTTTAACAATTAAAATGTAAAAAACTCATTCATTGATTATAAAAAAAAAAATCAAAAACAAGAAAACAAAAATTAAAATCAAACTAAAAAATTCTTTTGTCTTTATTTTAATTTTTAATGTTTTTCTTTTTTCTTTTGTTTTAATAATTTTTTTTTTAAATAAAAGAGGTGGAATATCAAACTTACCATTCTTTTGTTTAATAATAACTTTGGCTGGAGCAGACCGGAATGGCCAATGCATGGCAATAGAAAAAAGAGAAAGAAAGATACAAGGGTAAAAGTGCATGTATACTTTTGTGCTAATTCCAAAGATAAGAAACACAAATAATTTTTTTTTAAATTTAAAGATAATCTGAGAAGTAATTTAAAAATAAAAATAACAATAATAAAAAGGTTTATACAGAAAGACAAAGGTTGACGAGAGGGTGGTGATACGATAAGGGGAACGGTCATGTGTAGGTATATAAATACGTAAATATATCTACACACGTCAGATTGAGTGTGAAAAAATAAAAGTGAAACATTCTATTTTTCATTTTGAGACTTTTAAACAAATTATTACTGTCGATTCTCTTTTTCTCCCTTTTGTGAAAGAATTATTATTAACTTTTAAAAATTCGGATGCAAAAACATTGTTAATACAGTCTCAAAACATAGATAAAGGACTTTCACGAAATTTGGTGTCAAATTTGAAGAATTAAGAATACATGTACATTTCAAACATTGATAATGAGCTCAAGGGATCGCCAGTTTTTTTTTTTTGTTGACCAGATTAAAAAGATAAGGATTATCATGATGACTACCAATGTTATTGCATGAGTTAATGTGTGATATTTTTTACATGTTGATTATTTTCATTATACACTCCCTGTTAGAAATATCGCAACACCAATATTTTAGTTTTTGTCCTTAACCCACATTTTGTATATATTTATCGTAATATTACTTGTTCCATGAAAGACAATGGGAATTCATCAGGCCATTATTGATCCTTGTTTACTGAATAAATAAATAAATAAAAGAAGGATCAAAAATTTCTTGGTTCATTTCAGCCAGTTTTTACCTTTTGTTTGCCCAAGGTGGGAAATTTCTTTCTTTCTTTTATTTATTTTGTTAATTTTGTTTGCATCATGTCGTTTAAGCTGTGATGAATTATTATCATCACTCTCTATGAAAAAGGTACAGACTGGGAGTTATTCCAGGCGACCGAATTTAGGGATTCCCAGAATTACAATCTCATATATGAGTTTTATTACATTGCAAGCAATCCGGAAGCGTAATTCAATAGCTTCATTGGTATTCGGGGGACATCAACCATCAAGTCCAAGCTCAGATCAACAAGATCTTTGAAAAACCTCACTAACGTATACGGTAGAGAACTAAAGATTTTCAAAGGAACATCAATGAACTAGAAGAATAGAAAAAAGTCCTATTCACTGATGATGATGGATACTAGAAAGTGTGAGTTTTATGTCCCCCAAGCATTGCAGCCTTTTGGCTTACACTTTCCTTGTTCCTTGGCTCGGTGCGTTAGACTCATTCCTTCTCTTAAGAAGCACTAGGCACTTTTCTTTGTATAAAGTTATGACTTCGAGTGATAGTTTCTTCCTCCTCGTTACATAATCTACAAATGGGGTCATCATTGAATATGTAAATGTTGTATATATATATAGCAGTGAGTTTGTCAGCCTCGGTGGTGGTTGTTTTCGTATAAGTTTACTGTCTCTAGCAGCCCTAAAATTTATCCTCTTCTCATTTTTTTTCTTTACTTTTATCTTTGATGAAATGTTTTTGTTATCCCAAGAATAGGTAAAGGCCTATATGGTCTTGCAGAACCTCTTCTGGACAGTGTGTCTACCTTTTTGATACCCAAAATTCCTTTGTTTCCTGTACCCAAGATATTGTCAGGTTGTTGTTTCCCTAGGTTTTGGAGATTTTGGGTGTATTCCCTGATTATATCTGATGTGTTTTTTTTATACACTAGTGCTTTAATAGCTGGCTTGGATATCTGAATTTATGGTTGTTGTCAGTGTAACGCTTTTTCAGATTTTATAAGGTACAAGTGCTGTTAGTATGGTATTTCCGCTTGAAAGACCGAGGTGTTCTTCTTTAATGAGTTAGAAGACTCATATTTTGTGCTTGTATAGAAAACGCCTGATCTGGTTCCTTGATGTGTTTTGGAACCATGTTGGTATACCATATCATTGTATTTCATTTCCTCAAGAATCTTGTTTTAATTTGTTGTCTATGGAGGCTTGTTTTGTATCAAGTAGTCAGTCCCCATTTGATTAATTGTAGTTGTGTGCTCATTGTTTAGTTTCCATCCAATTTAATTGTTTCTAGAGGTTAAATGAGCTTGTCCTAGCTTCGCATTGTATAAATATTTCCAATGCAAGTAGGTTTAGCAGTGTTTATAGTGCAATTAATGGGTTGTTTTCATTGCCTATGTGATGTCAATCTTTGTTTGGGTATCTCGTTAACCAGATTAATGGGCACTACTCACTGAGACAAGAGCGGGCCTTAATAGTCCAGTGGTTGTGAAAGGGTCTGGAGAAAACCTGGAGAACAGTAGACAATTCTGCACATGGAACAGTGACATTTGGAGTCTTTACTGGCTTGGTATACTGAATTATACCAATTCACAGGGCTTAAGATATCTGGAGATGATCCTGCAAGAAGAATTGCTTTTATGCCTTTCTTAGGCTCTGAATCTTCCTTATACTTGATAATGCTCGGTAACATAAGACAACATGAATTTCTGGGTATTTTGTGTGGCCGGCTTTTAAAAGCGGGGGACAACATAACCAAGGATTTTTTTTTTGACAAATTCTTTTTATGAGAAGGTTAAAAAGCAATGAAAGCAGTCATTAAAGCCAGAGGAGGACAATACTTCTTAAGACAAATAAAATCATTTATTTTGAACTTCTGAGCCTTTTTGACTTACGTTAAACCAGATGTTTTCTTAAAGTGCAAAATTCACAGGGTTTTGAGATATTTTCAATGGGGAGTGTATTTTTAAAAACACAATTCAAATCGTTTGAAATATCCTTTGAGCCCAAAGTCGTTTGATCAGGGGAGGGAATAAATGGATTAAAAAAGAAAAACAAGGGATATTTAACAAGGCGAATCGTAAATTGAAAGTGTCGTCGTAAAAGTTCTAATCTGGCAAAGGGTTTAGTGATTGTGAGCGGGTAGGGATAAATCTGAGAGATGAAAGAACGTCAAATACATTCATTACCTACGAATAAAAAATGGGAAATAAAACAAATTCGGTGACAATGTCCAGATACCAGACTGTTCAAAGTTGGCGCGACATTGTAACCAAGTTTTTATGAATAGGGGATTAGGAGGAATGATTTTGGACTATGAGCCAAATTTCTTACATTTAATCAACATTTTATCTCGCTTTTATATTCTCGAGAAATAAAGCTCATAGACTAGTGAAACTCAAACTACTCCAAACATCTGAGATGATAATTTTTTCTCTTTTTCATCTTTTAAAACTCAAAACTATCATATTTACAAAATACTTTTGTTATAGAAAGTGTTAAATATAACAAAAAATTGTTAATTTGTAAAAGCAAGACTGCAATGTACATTGATTATTTGGTAAAACTTTATACAAACTAATTACAGAATTGTATGTTTTCAAGACTAAAAGACATAGAGTATTAACAGAAAACAGAGAAGGTAAAAAATTATAAAAAAATAAGAGAAAAATATGAGTTAAATAAAAATTGTGTACAGCAAGCAGAGAAGTAATATGTTCATCAATGAAACTAAAAATATTCAATAAACTAACAAAAAAATATAAAATAAAATAAAACTTCTTGTATGTGTATACGTATAAAAAAAGAAGAAGAATTCAGGGAAAAAAGGGCAACTACTTTTTGAAATCAAACAATCTATATAAAAGAAAAAACTGGGATGAAAAACAAAATGTAATCATAATAATGCAAAAAAAAGAAGAAAAATTATAAAGAATATTGAAAGGTTAGCAAATTAAAAGTGAACGAACCAAAAATTCAAGTCGACTAGACGCACACACGCACACGCCAACACACCACATTCTACACCTCCAAAGGAAGCTAAAAATATGCAGGCAAGAAAACTCGGACTCTGGGGTACCAAAGAAACTGGTGTAAGCGAAAAGCTACAACTGAACGAAATCTTTTCTCTTTGATATCGCAAGCCTTAAACACAAAAGGTTTCAACTGAATTCTTTGGGTTTTAATTTGGAATTTCGCTTCACCGGTGACACAACATCTCACAAATGACACGAGGAATTCAGTTGTTTCTCTCAATTGGCCAAGACCAACCACCAAGAGCAATTAAAGAACTCGTTATACTAAACGCTTCAGAAGATTAAATTTATATAAATAAAAACTTTAACAATGCACAGATTTTTTTAAAAATTTTATTAAAGGATTCATGAATTTTTAAAGTGTGTGGAGTGTGAGGGCTTACATCCACCGAAATAAATATATTTATAAAAGCGAAGCAAAAGTGCAGACACTTCAAATAAAAAAATAATTAAATGTCTTTGAGCCTTTTTCACTACGATATCTATTTAATTTTGAAAACCCTCTAATCGTTCATGGTGATTGTTTTTTTTCTTTTTGAACAATTGTTGTGAGTTTTGTTGTGTTTTTTAAATATTCAATTGTTCTTCAGAAAAAATATTCTACAATTTTCTTACTCAAACAAGGGGTGAGAAACATTCTGCTACAAAAAAATAATAATTCCCAACACAAACTTAAATAAAAGAAAAAAAGGAAAACCAAAATTAACAGGTCAACACTAGAGAAAATGTTTTCCTTCATTGTAAATAGAACTCATGTTTTTTTCTTTTTTAAATAAATGAACTACGGCGTATAACATAAAATGAGCAAATTTCGATTCTTACCATCTGAGCATCGAGCGAATAGCAGATCGGTCAGTCCACCGGTATTTGAGTTGCAGCATTACCAGAAAAAAATTGTGGGGGGAGAAAGATAAAAAAGACAGGTGTGGGAAGCAAAATCAAAAAGGTGTGAGTTGTGTTAGATCCAAAGGAAAATTTAAATTGAACCAGAAGTGAACACAATTTTTTTTAGAGGGGGCGGGAAGAAAAGGAGAGAAAGAGAGAACAGAGAAAAACAAAAATCAGTGATTATCACAAATAAAATTGATGTTTGCTCTTTTTTTAATAAAAGAAAAAAGTTGTGTACTGCCCTTTTGATAATAGAACAAATAATAAATATTTCAAATTGGCAACTCACAACAATAAAATGTCTGCTATTGTTTTCAAGTCTGAAAACTTAATGTAAAAAGTAAAGTTATTTTTAAAGAATTATGATGACAGTCAATCTTTTTTAAAAATTTTTTTTGAGATATTAAAAAGGCGACCAAGATTGAATGTCAATATGCAAAGTATAGACATGTAACATATGTATTTGTTTAAAACCATCCTTTGTAGTCGAGATCTTAAATGAATTTTTACTTCCACGTTCTAAAAAAAGCTATACAGAACTGAGAAACTTTTACAACAGTCAACAAAAAGCTGAGCCAAGAAAGATTAAGATACAATAAACCAAAGTGCTCGTGGAATTGTAAGAAAAAACGTTAAAAAACATGCAAAATGTAAAATTTGTGCTTTACTTAAAAAATGGAACAGAGTTATCATGGGAGAGCTATTTTTTCCTTGTTTTATATTTAATTATTTAATTTAAAAAAAGAAAAAACTAGCCTCCAGACTAGGCAACGCTGTTTTACAATTCTTAAACCTCAAAAAGCCAGAGAAAAAAACTATGTATAAAACAAGAAAATGATGGAAGTAATATCTGAACCATCAAATGCCATGAAGCTTAGAAAATTCAGACTAAGATCTCAACAACTTCTAGATTTTCAGCGAAAAATAAAAATCAAGAGCAAAGGTTGAAAAAAAATATAACCTGTTACATATCTTTAGATGTACATATTTAATAAATTTACAGTTGGGTTTATGGTTATGCACATACCTTCTTCAAGGGCATCATCGCCGTCTGACATTAGCTCATCATCTGAGCAAATATTGAGAACATTTACTAACATTTCGGTAACTGAAACCAAAAATAGGTAAATAAGTACACACACAAAAAAAAAAGAAAAAAAAATCATTTTTACCTTTTTCACCGACAAAAGGCAGTGACCATGTGAAGACATCCATGAAATTAGGAAGCCAATAAGGGTGAGGAGAGCAATTGAACTGTCGAATATTCATTACGTTGTTTTCATATTTTAGTACAGCAGCCTATCGCAACAGGGATTTTTGTCAATTTAAGCATTAAACTTTTTAAAGTTTCAGTTTTACCTTATTATTATATACATCCAAGTAATTGGGTGCTGAAAATATTGTGATTAATGATGGGAAACCCGTGGTTTGGCTTTTTCGATACATCCGGTACCTATTGGAATTGTATTCGTTTCGTTTACAAGCTCTGTAATGAATTATTTGATTCATATAATCACTTACCCAGCATCTTGCGCTTCGTGAGCTCTGATAATGGACAGGAGGTTGTTGTTCTGAAGGAAATCACAGCAAGCAGCATAACTGTAACAAAAACAAATTTTCATTTTATTGACAATTACTCCATAAATCTAATTGGGGCAGAGTTGTTGAACGCCTGATAAGGAAGCAATTTGATTTGACCATCTGAGACAAATCCCTCTTGCAGGGATCTTCATTGAAATAATTTTCCCAGTGGTTTTAAAAGACAATTTGACAAGAATGATTTAATGACTACAACTTTACGATGTAATAATAAACAATGATTTAAAAATTTAAAGAAATATTGAATAGAAGGAGGGAATCGGAAAATTTTATAAAGTGATTAAATAACATATTGAATTCACTGGTACATCGACAGATCTGTAGACTGTGTGGCACAGATCTCTCTTCTCTTGTGCTGCAGGATTGTTTCTCTCGGGTAGAACTGTATTATACAAGAAAATGGGTTTAATTGGATAAATGTTCCAGAGTTTAAGATCCTTGGGTTACAAATAGTTTTATTTCTCAGCAGTCATGCAGGGGAGAAAATTTGACGCGATGGATCATGAGGTCTGAACTCCAGATTAGGTTGACTGATCTCACTGTATCTGACTAATGTGGAGGCCAGTCTAAAATCCTGACTCAACCAGGATCACCTACTTTGATTGCGTCCTTACTGATGAGGCTGTGTATGTGACAGTAAATGAAGTGGCTGTTTATGAAGCCATGGACGAAGTAGACTTGGGCATTAGCTGATAGGCCATGGGTGTGGTGTGGTCGTATATTGGGAAAGCATTTCATTGACTCCATGCTCCATTTAAGGAGTGGTGTCCCTGGCTTACAATTAATTTTATCACTCTGTAGCAGATGGCTTGAGGCTTGCACTTTGGATTAAGATGACTGATCACTGTATCTTACCCTCCACCTGGCTCATTCTCTCACTCAGGTTCTTGCTGATGAGTGACCTTGGACGAAGTGGCTGTTTTGCAGCCATGGGCAAGGTAGACATGGGTATTAGCTGTATTTCAGCAGTGTCTCTCTTTTCTTGTGTCCAGGACATTTCCCACAAAGAGGTAAAGCTGTCTTTGTACAGGGGAAAATAGTTTAATTGAATTAATGTAACAGTTTGAGAAGTGGCTGGCTTACAATCAGTTTATTGCTCAGCATTGTCTTCATGCAAGGGAGGAACTTTGTTGGGCTGGGTCGTAGACTTTGAAAGCAGGGCTGCACTCCAGATTCAGGTGACTGATCTCACTGTATACGACTGTCCCATCTATCTGACTCTCTTACCTAGGTTCTCACTCGGTCTCTGTTACATGCCTTGTACACTGGTCTCGAGTCGTGAATATCGGATTGTGAAACCACAAGTCATTGCTATCTATGATGTGTATGTGTGGGGTCCTTGGTGCTTGCTGATAAAGATGGGTACCCGGCCTTGTATGGAGTGCCAGTTTATGAAGGCGCTGACGAGGAAGACATGAGTGGTCGCCCTGGCTTACAATAAGTTTTACTGCTCTACTCTGGAACGCTCTGTAAGGAAGGAATGTTGTCGAGCTGGGTGGCATCTTGAAGGCACTGATTGCTGGAGGCTTTGTTCAAAATGTATTTTATCAACCCTCATTCCTCATTCTAAAAATTAGAATGAAATAGAAGAATAAGGTTTGAACCAGGTGCTTTATTTTTCATGCAATGTTCTAACTATGGCACAAGCTCAATACTCATGATTTCAGAGACAAGGATTTGGTACCAACAGTGTGAATGTTTTAACTTAATGTTTTAACCAATTTGTTATTGTCGCTACTTACAGTTAAATTATCAAAAAACATTTCTACTTATTTTTCTGTTATTGGGAGTTTTGAAAAGTCTCTGCGATTTATATTTTTGAATATTTTTCAAAGTTAGGAGCATTTTGGGCCTCTTCGAATTTAGAGTGGTTTATTGGTTAATGTAAAGAGAATTTGATGCAGGAATTGAATAGTTCTATCCCTAGGTAACTATTATTAATTATATTCTAATTCTTAATGATCTGTGTACTTTCTCAATGAAATCAAATTTAAACATGAAATTTTTGTAGAATTGCTTGTTTGTGATGGCTAAACGTCTGGCCGTTGTGAAAATATTATTTATTTCATTTTTTCTCATGGCCATCAAACATGGGTTATTTGGGCTGTTGAACACATAAACATGTACAATTGATAAGTACACTGTCATGTCCCAGAATTGCATGTACAAAACAATACTTGAATCTACTGATAACTAGGCTCCACAGGTGCAAATCTGTTGAAGCAATTCAATTGTACTGGTACGAGTAATGTAGTTAAGAGCGTACAAAGGCCCAAGGTTGGATGGATGTCAGTGTTTCGCTCTGCTTGAGATAGAAGGGGGGTGGCTTTGTAGAGGCGGTCAGGCATTAATTCCATCGCCGATCTCCCCGTGTGACACCTTTTACACCCTTAATTATGCGGGTTAGAGGAAAACAAAATGTCTGAAAAATCGGGATTAGTATCAACGTTTTTCTGACCAATTATTTTTACGAAACTTTTTACAAGGGTACAAACTAATGCAGCCTTTTTGATATTACAGTGTATTTCAATACATGAAAAGTTCCGAAGTTGGATTTCTTAAAAATTATTATTGCTACAAGTTCTGAACATTGTTGCAAGTTACTCCCAGTTCTTTATAGCTTATTTTAATATTAATTTTAAATATTTATTAAGGTGAGAAAATATAACAAGGTGTAAGTAAACTTAGCTAGAAAATCCCTTTATTAAATATAAAATCTTTCGGCATTTTAAATTCAGATCATGAAAAGTTTGAAAGTCTTTGTAAAATCATTAATTAACCCTTAAATTTTAAAAGGATCTGTAATAAAAAAAATTAAGTGCTTAAAACTTTCTTTCTCACCAGGAAAAGTCTAAATATAAAACCCTCCAAGGAAAACGTAGCTATAATCCTACGAAACAAAGAAATAAAGCATTCCAAAGAAGTTTACCTAAGAGTAAGACCAAAGGTAATACACGAGAGAACCCATGGCAAAACACTAAAGCCAATTTGGGTGATAAATCCTAAAATGGTCCTACATTACCATAGTCATTCATTATATATGCAATTTACTGGAGGACAAAAATCGAACAAAGAAAGGCAGGAGGAGTATAATCAAAAGTTCAAAGAATAGCATGCTATAGCTATTAATAAAACAACTGTAGCTCCAGAATGAATACTCAGGCTACCACCAGTTCAAATATATTAAAAAGGAATGGTAGTGAGTGAGGAATTCATTGGACAGTGGAAAGAAAGCATCGAACCATATCAAATTTGTTTTGACAAAGTTAAAAAGACTTGGAGCTTTTTTATAGTATACAGATGGCTCAAAGATGGGAAATGGTATGGGTAAGGGCATAAAGGGGCTTATGAGCACCACATGGACATTTGATCGCACCATGCTGAATTGCTAGCCATAAGACATTGGGACATGAGGAATTTTACGATTTGAGGTATATGACATACTAGTTAAAAAAAAAAAAAGTTACAGAACTATATCCAAACTAAAAAAGTACTGGAATTTTGGGTAATTAAAGAACACAAAACTGAGAAAATAGCCAAGCAATGAAGCTTGCAAAAATAGCCTAACAGGAGAAAAAGGAAATTCTATTCAACCAAACCAGTTTAAATATTTAAAAAAAATCTGCCACAACCATGAGAAAAATTCAGTATTTCATAAAAAAACATCTAGGAAATCAATTGGCAGAGTTCGAACACAAAATACAGATTTTGTCAGTCTAATCGCATTATTTATTTAATTAGATAAAGATGACTCATTAAACATAAAAAAGTCTTATTTCATCACTGTGCTCACAGCTTTGAATGAATATTTTTTTAGAGAGACCTCATGTTTGTCACAATAACTTTTGTTTTAACTCACTAGTTTTTGTGGTCTGCTTGACCAATATCTTTCAATTAATTAAGGTTTTTAGTTGAGATAAAAAGTCAGCGGGATTCGAACCCACAACCTTCGGCTAGATACACCGTTGCTCTATCACTTGAGCTATCGTGACCTCGATCCACTCGGACACCAACTTCCCATCTCAACCCCACCTTTTGTATTTTCCATTCTTTTTGTCATTTTTCAAATGTCTTGTAATCTATTTGATTCTCGGAGACAAATGTTTTCATGTTTTAACAATGATTAATTGATTAAAATAGACTAGATATTTTAAAACCATCCGAGGTGAAAAAATTTTGAAATCTGAAACTCTAAAATATTCTTCTTAAGTTTTCTTAACAACTTTACCGCCTGATGTATACAAAAGGGGTTTGATTCCATCACACTTTCAAACATTTCTGAAATGGTATTGTTCTTAACAAACTTATCCATAAGAAAACACGAGTCTGAAATCCCAAGTCAGTCCTTGTTATTAACGTGCGCCAGTGGTGTTAAGGTGTTCAGATTGTTAGGGAAATTCCCAGTGGCTTGATTAGAGAAGATACAATCTCAACTTACCCCGCTATGGAAAATTTAACAAGTACAATACGTAGATTCTAATCTATTATATAACACACAATGAGAAGTTTAACAACTTTCTATTTATTGTCAGCCATCAGGCCAACTTGTAAAAAACATACAACACATCTATTTTATTAGTCCATACAGCACCATAGAAATATTCCATTAATTTTATGAATCAGCAACATTAAATAAGCCTTTTTTGAGCTGAACAATCTACATGTACTAGTTCCTTATTTGATTTGTGACAATATTATCTATGGAGGATTTTCTGTACTAAACTATAGTACTAAACTGTACATCAGAATAATTCAGCTACATTTTACTGATTTTTTCTTTGCCACTGTCAGGTTTCGTCCAGCTTATAACCCTGAACAAACTAACAAGGGGAAGATGGTTGGTGGGTCATGAATTTGGACCAAATTTTTTTGGTGATTCTATGCTCCAAAATTAGCCGAGCCATTACATGCCTTCTATGAGAAGCATTTACATATTCAGTGTTGGGCCAACATTATTATAAACAAGGTGTGTCACACCTCCCATGGTGGCAAAATACAAC